TTCTGGGGGTGTCCCGGGGGAGTGCGGGGTCCCGCAATCGCACAGAGCCGGCCGTGGGGGACACCGCGCTTTGGGAGAGCCGAGGGGGGAACCCCGACACCCTGAAATGGGGCACGGAGGAGGCAGCACCGCCGGCAGCCTGGGGCGGAGAGGGGAGAACCGAGCGGGCAGACCGGAGACGGGTGTGAGGGAAAATCATACACCCTGTGAAGAGCCAGTGCTCACAAAGGAGACAGGGGAGCCCTGCAACCTTATCCGAACAAAGGGAGAAAGTCCGCTCGGGCACACCCCTGTGGGCACTCTCCTCATAAAAGGAGGATGCAACCTCCTTTTACCCTAAACTTTTGGCCGCGTACTGCCGTCTTTGTTTCCCCATTGCATGAGGTACAGCCTTCCCGAACCACCTACTGCAGATTCCCCTAAAGCTCAGAAGTTCAAACTGTCTGGGTTCTGCAACAAAGTCATACAGCTGGATGTTCCTGAGTGCCTCCGCATGCATTCTTTCAGAATCTGATTGGTTATTTCAGACCTAGTCTTTTGTGAAAACATTGAGACCCATTTCTCTTATCAGGGGGTCCCTGGGATCCCCAGAGATCCCCTGGGATCCCCCTCTAAGAAGAGAATTAGGGAAGAAAGGACCTCTGGGACACCTCAAACATCTGTAAACAGCACCCAAGCAGAGGGGAAGCCCAGAACCCATGGGAGGCCCAGCAGCCCAGTGAAGGGGCACCTCCAGAGCCCCAGAAAGACAACTAGGAAGGGAGAACTGCTGTGAGGGTTTTTGACACTGAGTGTTCATGTTTCTGAGGCATTTAGATATACAAGATGACCGTATAGATATACATGAGATGGACTGGGGTAGGAGGAACCCCAATCCAACGAGCTCATACCTTGATTTCTTTCAGCCAAAACAGAATTTGTCATTCCCAAGCCTTGGCTGGATGGGGAAGACTGTGGGGAAGATACTCCAGGATACCCAGGCAGGGGAGGAGGAATCACTGCCCCTTTCCCCTCTCTGCTGCTCCATCTCCCAGCCCAGCATCGCTGCAGGACAGCCTCACTGCCAACGCCATCCTGCCAGGGATGGACTGGGGGGATCTCCTTTCCCTTCCCTCTGGCATGGAGGCGAATCTCCTTTCTCACCTTCTTCCTTCTTCTCTCTCCTTGTCCTTTTCCTTCCTACTGCTTGTTCCTTCCTCCCCCAGGCATGGGGCTGTGGAAGGAGAACAGAGAGAACAGATCCCTGTGGCAGTACCTTAAGAAAAAGGCCATTTTTAGTGGCTCCACAGCACACTTAGTCAACAGGGAGGAAAAGCCATGGAGATCCCCCACAAGGAGGGCCTGCAAACCCAGCCCATGGTGCTCTGAGGAGGAAAGACCCACCCTGAGTTGGGAAGGCAGCTGACCTGGTGGTTGACCAGATGCTTCATGATGGGGACAAATCCTACAAGGGCTTCTTGGAATGTGGGAAGAGCTTCAGCAACAGCTCCAACTTCTTCATCCACCACTGGGTGCACGTGGCCCTATGAGTGTGAGGAATTGAGTGGGAAGAGCTTCACTCAGAGCTCCAGCCTGGGCTGCCCCAGAAGATCCACACAGGGAACAGCCCTAGAAGTGTTTGGAATGTGGGAAGAGCTTTATCCAGAGCTTCAGCCTGATGTGTCAACAGAAGATCCACATTGAGGAATGGCCCTACTCCCCCCGTACTTGCAATGCAGAAAGAGATTCAGCCTCCTCTTCATCTGATCTACCAGCAGTGTCCACGCCAGGGAACGGCCCTACATATGCTTGGAATGCAGGGAGAGCTTCAGGTGAGGCACCTGCCTGGTCTGCCACCAGAGCAGCCACACTGGGGAGCAGCCCTACATGTGCAGGGAGTGTGTAAAGAGATTTAGTGACTGCTCCAACCTGATCTGCCACCCGAACATCCACACCAGGAGGAGGCTCTGTGAGTGTCCCCAGGGTGGGAGGAGCTGCTGCAGCTCTGCCTTGACCCAACACCAAGAGTCCCCCAGGTAAGGGAAGCCCTGTGAGTGCCCTGCTTGCAGGGAGAGATCTGTTCACTGCTCCAAGTTCACCCATTAGAGAACCCACATTGTGTTATCTACGGTGACCAAGTTGGGACTTGAATCAACCTGGTGAGTCAAGTTGATCACAGACATGGTAATCCAGCACTGGCAGAGACCAAGATTTTGGAGACAATTTTGTGGGAACCCCTCCAAAAAAAGCTCTTTCATCCACCCAACCCAATCTGACCCAACCCAAACCCACGGATACTCAAACAATGCTGACATGTAAATTCTTTAATTTTGGCCTTGATTTTCTTGTGATCTATCCTTTAAAAACACCCAAAATTGGGTAAAAATAAAGAACCTTGTCAGAGATGTGTAAAACCCCACCATTTTACAGGGACTGGGGGAGGAATTTCTAGTCTGGGGGATATTCAGGAGGGTTTGGGATTTTTGAGGAAATTTGGAGGAGTTTCCTCCATTACTTTGCACCCCAAAAGGTGAGGGGTTCTATCCATCACCTCAAAACCACTCAATGCCACTGAAAGTGTCTCCATCCCAGCCAAAAATGGCTTGATCCCACCTCAAAATGACTCAATACCACCCCAAAAGTATTCAGTCCCACAGCGCTCCAAACCCTGGAGGGGAAGGAAGGGGATGGGGAGGGGTGGGATGTGAATCCAGAGGCATGGGATATGGAGTGAGGCAGATGGGATAGGGATTGGGAGGGGTGAGAGGGGATTTGGGAGAACTGGCATGTGAATTGGGAGGGGTGGGATGGGGATTAGGAGGGGTTGGATGGGGTCTGAAATGAGACAGCTGAAGGTTGGCAATGATGAGGCCCACGGGGTCCCCGTTCCTGAAGGGGTTGCAGGGTATCCCCCAGTTCTGCAGGGGTTTGGCCGATGCCTCACCAGTTGCCAGGCAGGCCCACATTGCCCAACATTCCCCACGTGAACCCCACCTGAACCCCCACTCACCTTCAGCGCCCCCCAGGAGAGGAATTTGAGGAGGGGGAAGATGGAGGGCATCCAGCCTGGC